CCCCCCCGCCCCCCGCCCGCAGGAAGACCTCCCAGAACTTCCTCGTGGCGGCCTGCTTCTTCGAGGTGCTCAACAGCATGCCGGTCCCCAGCGGCAGCCCGCCGGATGGCTCGCCAGCCGGGATGCCACGCGAGGACATCGACAACAAGATCAAGTATGCCAAGTGGCGCGCGGTGGAGATTTCCCGGGCCATCCGGGAAAACCGCCTCCCCAGCCCGCCGACCTCCTTCGACAAGCAGGACCCGGCGGCCGGGTCTCCCACCTCGCCGGCCATGGCGGCCACCCAGTGGGACGCCCCGCGCGGGGACAACTCCTTCCCTGGCTCGGCCTCCATGACCCAGCACCAGCACCAGCACCAGCACCATGCCATGGACACCGACCCGATCCCCACCCCATCCCTTTCGGCGTCCACCTCGCCGAACAACTTCCACGGCGAGTATGCCGGCGGGGCGGGCCACCATCAGCAGCACCAGGGCTTCGGCGGCCACTCCCACGGGCACTTGGCGCCGCATCCGGGCTATGGTGGCCCCGGGAGCGGCGGCGGCAGCCCCAGCGGCAGCCCCTCCCCCCATGACCCTCGGTCGGATTACCACCAGCCGCCGCCGCCGGCGCAGCAGCAGCAGCAGCAGCACCACCACCACCACCACTCCCGGCACCAGCAGCACCAGTCGCCCACCGCCCGGTCGCCGACGCTCTCCGGCCGGACGGCCACCTCGGTGCCGGATGCCTTCCGTGATGAGCCGGTCGGCCGGTCACCGGTCATCATGTCCAAGAACTTCCTCGATGAGGAGGACGACTTTTCGGATGACGATGACCCGGCCGACATGTATGACCCGGCCACGCTGGCCGGCATCGAGCGCCTTGCCCGGCACGCCGCCTCGGCCGTCCAATATGCCGACATCCCGACCGCCCGTGCCCGGCTTGAGGAGGCTCTGCGCATGGTCGCGACGGCCGAGCAGCAGGCCCGGGCCGCCGCCGCGCGGCGCCGGTAGGCCTACCGTGCACCCGACCCACTGGCCGGCCTCTTCTTCCCTGTGTGCGCCGTACACGTGCGCGGATGGGCCGGGCGCCCCTTCTCGCTCGCCTGCCTGTCTGTCCATGTGCACGTATGTAGGGGGGAGGGGGGGGAGGGACCAGGGGGGGGAGGGATGTGTGCGCACATGCATGCACGCGCGTGGAAACATGCCTCCGCCTCCTTCCTTGCCAGGACGGCCTTGCCAATATACCCCCTCGTCCGCCTTTCTCCCCCCATGCCTCGCCCACCTTTCCCCCATGCCTCGCCCAATGGCCTGGGGTCTGATGGCAGCCATGCTTGTGTGTGCGCTCGCGCCGAAGGGCCGGGGGATGTCTATTGTGTATGTGAGCATGGACTTGCGTGTGCCCGTGTGTCCCGGACAACGGCCACACGGCCCCTGCCTCGCTGGTAAACGGGAGGCAGGGCCCCGGGGAGAAGGGGGAGAGGAAGAGAGAGAGAGAGAGAGAGAGGGGAACACCCGTCCGCGCGCGTGCATCCGCACTCACGTCACAATCATCAGAACCAGAATGCCGAGCATGGCGAAAAGGGTCACCACGCTGGCGGTGGCCACGGCCTTGGAGTTGGTCAGGAAACGCCCGGCCTCGAAGTACCGAAGCGTGATGTAGAACCGGATGAGAGCCAGCGCGGCGTAGACCAGCCCCAGAGCCAGGGTGACCAGCGCAAAGAGGGCGATCCGGTGGGAGAGAAACTGCGAGAGGATGGTCAAGCCCAGGGAGATGAGCGAGATGGATGTCCGCAACCAGGCCCAATTGGTCCGCTGGGTGGCTGAAGCATGGCCAGAGGTAAGTGTCAACGCCGGGCACCCTGGGCCAGGCGCCCCGGGCGAGCAGAGAGCAGAGCGGGCGAGGCACAGCGTACCCCGGCGATCATCATTCCAGTCAGTGTCCTCGTGCAAAATGAAGAGGTCCTCCTCGGCCCCGGCGACCGGGCCGTCGCCATCCTCATCGGGATCGGTGTCCGGCAGCCGGGCAAACCCCGGTGAGAGGGTGGTCATCTGGAAAATCTCATTCAGGCGAGAGCCCCCCCCGCCGGTGGCGGAGAACCAGCGTTCCCCCAGGCCCGAGGCGTCTTGCAGATGGGCGGACGGGCGCTCGGGAGGGGCTGCGGCCGGGGGATTGTCCCACCGGAGGAATGGCGATGCTCGCGGCGGAGGCGCGGCCATAGGCGCGTCGTCCAGCGACGCGGCGCGAGGCGGCAGCATGAAAAAAGGAGGGCGTGCCCGGGCTGCGGGTCGGCAACCAGCGAGGGCAAGGGGGCAGGGAGGGAAGGGGAGGCGCCGTGGGAAAGAGAAAAGGGCAAAGTATAAGTCGAAGAATGGCCAGGCCTGGCCGTGAACGAGATCTCAGCCTCCAAGAGAGGGTGGCGTCCCTTTTTGCCGGTCCGGGGCCTCATCTTGCTGTGCTCGGCTGCCCGCCGAGGGGGAGGGGCGGGGGGCCGTTCATGTCCGGCGCACCCAGGAGATAAGCCCCCCCCCCCCCCCCCCGGGAAAAGGGGCCTGGGAATCCAAGCACCGCACGTGATGGCCGGCGTCACGGGCCGTTCGCGAAGTCCAGATCCCCATGCTTGAGATGATGGAAGAGGGGTGATGCCACACAAGCGGGCCCCCTTCCCGTTTGCAGGCAGGGAGCCCCGCGCGTCCTGGTGTGGTGTTCCAGAGGGGGGGGGGGGCAGGCGAGCCGTATGTGTGTGCGCGCGTGCCTGACCTCATTCCGGGGTCTCGCGGGCTGGGCCGGGGAGCAAGACGGCGAGGCGGGGAGGGGCGAGAGAGAGAGAGAGAGAGAGAGAGAGAGAGAGAGAGGGAGGGAGAGAGCGCGCGTGAGCCAGGGAGAAAGATGACGCAGGCGAAAACAAGACCCGACGCAGGCTCCAAGGGTGCCTGGCCCGCACGCCGACCGGGCCTTCGGCGCTGTGCTCTGTCTTGGCTTCTCCTCACGGCTGGCCGTGTGCGGTGAGGCCCGCGGCTCTCTATCCCTCTCTCTCTCTCCCTCGGGAAGGGGGCCCGCGCCGCCGGGTCGACCACCTGCGAGCCGGCCCGGGCGGGCGGACCACCGCCTCGAGGCATGACGAAGACACCGCGGGGGGGGGGGGGGGGCGGCAGCGAGCTGGCACACGGCCCCCGGGGTGCCTCTCGCCGGTTCTGGGCCGCGGTGGGGTGCACCAGGCCCTCGGGCCCTTGGGAACGAGGCATTCGTCCAGCGCGTGCCCGCGCCCGCCGCGCCTGCCCTCCGCTCCT